ATCGAAACATCAAAAAATCGATATAGGGGTATTAAAATATCGAAAAATTGAAAAATCCGAAAATTGAGAAGTTCGCAAAACTGAAATGTTGAAAAATTGGGAAATCGAAAAGTTGAAAAATTTTTAAAATCGAAAAACCGAAATGTCATAATCCAACCACTAATAAATCGTAAAATTGGAAAAACAACAATCGAAAAACCGAAATATAAAAGCTGAAAATTTTAAAAATCTAAAATCCGTAAAATTGAATTCTTGATAAATCCAGAAAAACTGAAAATTCGAACAATTTTAAGAACTGAAAAATCGAAATATATATCTAAAATTTAAAACATTGAAAAATTAAAATATCGAAAAATTGAAAAATGAAAAACTTCAAAACTGAAACATCGAGGAATCGAAAAACCAAAGATTGAGAAATCGAAAAGTCGAGAAGTCGAAAATAATTTGAGAAATCGAAAAGCTAAAAATTGAAAATTCCAAAAATCGAGAAATTTAACAATGAAAAAATCTGAAAACTGAAGAATCAAAAAATTGAACAACCGAAACATCTAAAGAGTAAATTTGAAAATACGAAAATTGAGAAGTTCCCAAAATTCAAATGTTGAAAAACTGGGAAATCGAAAAGTTGAAAAATTTTTAAAATCTAAAAGCCGAGATGTCATAATCGTAAAATTGAAAAAACAAAAATGGAAAAATCAAAAATTTAAAAATTCCAACAATTCGAAGAACTGAAAAATCGGAATATCTAAAACTGAAAAAATTGGAAAATTACAGTATCGAAAACTTATAAACTGAAACATCGAGGAATCGAAAAGTCGAGGATCGAAATAGGCCAAAATCGAAAAGCTGAAAATTGAACAATTTAAAATGAAAAAAAAAATCGACAAATCGAAAAATTGAAAAATCTGAAAACTGAAGAATCGATCAATTTAACAACTAAAAAACGAAATCCGAAATATCGAGAAATCGAAAAATTGAGAAGTTCCCGAAACTGAAATGTTGAAAAACTGGGAAATCAAAAAGTTGAAAAATAAAAAAAATCAAAAAATCGAGATCTCATACTCGAAACACTAATAAATCGTATATCTGAAAAAATAAAAATTGAAAACTTGAGATGTAAAAGAGCTGTAAAATCGGAGAATCTAAAATTTTAAAATTAAAATGTTGAAATATTAAAAAATCGACAACCCTCAAATGAAAAAATCTGAACATTGATTTCTCGATAAATCGAGAAAAACTGGAAATTCGAAAAATTTAAAAACCGATACATTGAAAAATCTAAAATCAGAAGAATCGAAAAATTGAACAACTGAAAAACTAAATCCGAAATGTTGAGAAATCCAAAGATTGAGCATCGAAACATCAAAAAGTCGATATAGGAGTATTAAAATATCGAAAAATTGAAAAATCCGAAAATTGAGAAGTTCCCAAAACTGAAATGTTGAAAAATTGGGAAATCGAAAAGTTGAAAAATTTTTTAAATTGAAAAACCTAAATGTCATAATCCAACGACTAATAAATCGTAAAATTGAAAAAGCAAAAATCGAAAAACCGAAATGTCATAATCCACCCACTAATAAATCGTAAAATTGAAAAAACAAAAATTGAAAATCTAGATATAAAAGAGCTGAAAAATCGAAAATCTAAAATTTAAAAAAATTTTAAATTAAAATGTTGAAAAACCGAAAATCGAAACATGAAAAGATCGAGAAATCGAAAACTCGCAAAATTGAAAAATTTGAAAGAAAACAAATTGAAACAAAGTTGAAATACCTATCGAGAAATTGAAAAATCAAAAATCTAAAATTTAGAAATTGAAAAATCGAGAAGTCGAAAAATTGGAAAATCGAAATAAATCAAAATCAAAAATTAAAAATTGAAAAACTTAAAATGAAAAAAATCGAAAAATCTAACAATGAAAAAATCGAAAAATCGAAAATCGAGAGACGAAAAATTCGAAAAATCGAAAACCGTGAAATGGAAAAATCGAAACATGAAAAGATCGAGAAATCGAAAACTCGCAAAATACCTATCGAAAAATTGAAAAATCAAAAGTCTAAAATTTAGAAATTGAAAAGTCGAGAAGTCGTAAAATTGGAAAATCGAAATAAATCAAAATCAAAAACTAAAAATTGAAAAACTTAAAATGAAAAAAATCAAGAAATCGAACAATGAAAAAGAATTGAATCTAAAAACCGAAGAATCGAAAAATTGAAAAATGTAAAATCGAGAAGTCGAAAGATCGAGATATCGAAATTGAAGTGGAAAAAATTGAAAAATGGGAAAATCAAAAAATTTATTAATTGAGAAATTGAGAAATAGAAAAGTTAAAAATTTAGAAACGTGAAAATTCGAAGAATTTAAAAATGGAAAAATTGAAAAATCGTAAAACTGAAACATCGGAAAATTGAGAAAAAGAAAAGTGAAAAACCCCGAGAAATCGAAAATTTGAAGAATCGAAAAATCGAGAAATTGGAAAACTGAAAAAACGCAACATTGAAAAATTGAGAAATCGAGAAATGAGAAAATTAAAAAGCGATTAATCACCAAATTGAGAAATCGGAAAATTAAAAATTTAGAAACGTGAAAATTTTAAAATCGAAAAATTGAAAAATCGTAAAACTAAAACATCGGAAAATGAATAACCCGAGGAATCGAAAATTTGAAGACTAAAAAATGGAAAATCTTGAAACTGAAATGAATTATCGTAAAGCCGAAAATTCCAAAAATTCAACACGGTTTCATAAACCACAAGTTCAGAACTATGTTACTTTTTGATATTGAAATATTCGACAAAATTGCGGGATAACATCACCAATTCCTGGGGAGAGGAACATGACCTTGGAGCGTTTGCAAGATTTCAAAGCATACGATTTTGTTGTTATACAATTTTAATTTATTCCAAAAAATCTGGATGACGAAGGTAAAAACTCAAAACGGATTCATAAACCACAAATGGAGGAGTACGTGTTGTATAAACCCTTAATAACATTTACTATTGTAAAATTTGGAGATAACGACGTTCCATTATTGGTGGGATGAGCAGACAAATTTTGGTTGTCGTTTTACTATCTACACCTTATTCCTAATACAAATATATTCGGGTCTAGTAATTTCTGAGATTAATGGTTTAATAAAAATCTAGCTTGCGCTTGATAAATAAAAATTTCTTAGTTTATGGAATATTTACGTATTCTCAGGGATTGCCCACTTTTGACCACCCGTCGCCAAAAATTGAAAGACAATAACGATATTTCCGCTAAAGTAATTGAGGTTGACGGCCTCTGTAGTAAGTTTTAACCCGTGAAAGTCTAATTAATAGTGTCTGGGACTCGGCGTTGTGATAACATATGGTTCAAGGTGTGCATTTGTGAAAGTTCCTACAACATGAAAAAGTGAGGTTATGTTATCGGTAATTAGATGTAGATTAGAAATGAAAATGTACACTTCACTTTAATACGAGTGTTTGTATAGTAACAAAATGAAATTGTTGAAGGAGTGACGGTGAAATTTTAAATTGTCTCATAAATAAGTTAATTAACTTTTGATAGAATCACTTTGGATGTTGGTCTCAAGACATGATACGAAAACGTAAGCGAATATATTTGCTTCAAGTGAAGCCTTTTCCGGTTTGGACATGATAAAACTTGTCTTCGATTCGGTAGAAACGGTTTGTGATGGGCTGCGAAACGGATCGATGGATGCAATGGCAACGCCTTGGACTGACGAAACCGGTCGATGGCTGCATTGACAACAGTTGATAGCGATTACGCAAGGTCAACTATTTTGGGAGTTATTATTAACACACGTGTCGCCATCTAACTATTATCGTGTGGTTTTCACTAGATTTATCTATGTTATCAGAACTTGTCAAACATTGCTTGGTGAAAGACAAAATTGACTTTCAAAGGCGTGATATTTCAACAATCGAAGAATCATTGTGATAGTCAATAGGTAGATGATGAAGTCAATTGACCTGTTGAACCACCTTATTTCTGATTTGTTTATCGGACTTGTTTGATAATAGGCGAACATTTGTATACAACTAAACTACAAGTGGTGTTATTGTTTCTTACGCTTTTTAGTTTGTTTTCGTAGTAAGTACTGCGTAAAAGTTCTTACAAAGGTATACTGCCAATTAATGTTCTCTTAAGACTCATCAATCATAGGCATATCTTGATATTACATATTATCAGGGATTAAATCTCAGCCTGATTGACTGCAGTAAAAAAAAGTTAGATGTTCATCAGTACTGCGGCTGTTTGTCGTCTTTTACGGTAGTCCAGAGAACGGAATAGATGAATCTAAATGGGCTTTAATGAAGTCGGTACTTTAATAAAATGTGCCGATTTAGGTAAATAGAACAAAGTAAATCCTTATCCCACTCAGAATTTTTTCATTGTTTTACATTCCGTCATTTCTATCTGTATTGTACCACATTTTTGCAATACTTTTATCTTTGGCCACTCAAACAATGCGCCATAAATCGCTGGGATAAAAAAATGTGAATTTTTGTAAGCGAAACAAACGTAATAAAAATAAGTTGTAATTTAAATAAATGTTTACATCGGGTTCATAAATTTCGTTACAACAAACGTTTCGTCAACTGTATCATTATCATTTCCGCATTTAAAAAAAATAGTGAAATCAGTTACTTTGCGATAAGCACACAATAGTCAAAAAATGTACAAGTACTAGATTAGCATGAAATCGTTAATTTCAATGCATTCTAGTTGTCGATTACGCGAAAAACCGTCTTACGTACTCCATCGGCGTTGGATAAACGGATTAGAATACCTTATCATTCCTGATAAGATCAGGAATGCGCCGCTATCACGTTTTGCCCAACATCATTGTTATTACGTTAAATTTAGTCGAAACCATAAGTTCCAACAATACTCATCCTCTTATTCACGACGTAATTTATAGCGCTTGTAACTTGTTGAGCAAGTGACACAAACGCGCACACATCCAACCACCCCCTGTTTGTTTTTGATAAGATTCACGAGAGGAAAAGTTGTAGCGTTATGTGGCGTGTTCGTAGGATCCAGAAATTTTCACGAGATGAGTGAAAAGTGAAGTGTTTGTGTGGCTTCAGTGCTAACATGTGGGGCAGTAATGGACAAATGAAAAACAATATTTTGAGACACCCCTCCGCCCTCGAATCCAAGGGGTTCTTGAGCGGGAACAAAAAATGGAATCCCAGGCCGGCCTCGTGGGCCGCTCCCAACAACGTCAGCATTTTCCCGTCGCAACAGGGTGGACCAAAAGGCAGCCAGTTCGATTCAGTAAGTGGATGAAGAACGGGGAAACAATGACGGGGAGATTCTAAGGTCGTTGTGACCAGCTGATGTATGGGGTTTGTTGTTGGTGTTTAGTAGGTTTTCGTGGATTTTGGGGTAAACTGGTTTCTTCCTCAAAGGAAGCGCGAATATAAACGATTAGGGGAAGGCAGAATGGGGATCATTATTTCTCAGCTGGTTAGAACGGGCCCAAGTTTGAATGTCTCATTGTTATAAAGTGTAAAACTTCCGGTTGTTTGTTGTCAGTTGTAGTAATAATAATCATGATTCACTATACTATCTCTTGGAACTGGTAAAAATGTAAAAGTAAATATTATTGCAAAGTTTTTATCCGCTTAAATTGTATTATCTTTAATGACAGTGTACTAGGAACAGGTAGAATCCCGTGCCTGGGACGTACTTAAAAATTTCGTGTCGTTGCACATTTAAAAAAAGAAAGTACTATTTTGATGGATAGAGCAATAATGTTCTCAGATGTAGCCTGTTTGACAACTAAAAAAAAGTTTCTTTTCAAAGCTCAGATCTTTATCAAAAAACAGATGAATCACAATAAAGTTGATAATTTACGTCAGCTTTACCTAGAGTAATTGTCCATTCTAACCTCCATTCAATACATTTTTCTGAAAACTGGAAAGATAACACGTTAGTTATCAGATAAGTGCAGTAGAGAGTTTGCAACATTTTTTCAAAATAAAAAAATTAAATTTTTGTAAAACAATAGCGTAGTATTTTTGATATTTCAAATTAAAAAACAATTATTAAGAATTTCTAATTTTTAATATTTATGCAAAAATATCGAGAGCTACGTATCAGTTTTGCTTGTCTGGTGTTTGGTTATTTCTTAATTTCTGAGATCATTTTAAAATTTTTAAAATTTCCGATTTTCGTATAACATAAATTCGTCTTTTCTAGAAAATTATTTAGTTCAATATACAGGGTGGATCACTAAGTGGGCGTCCGCGATGTCTCACTAATTATTAGACTTCTTTGAGGACTGTATTCTAAAATTACTTAGTTTAAACGATACAGTGTTCTGTCTCGCAATTTTTTGTTTTTTTAATGAAACACCCTATATATTTTTAGATATTTTGATTGCTCACTTTCGGGCTTTAGAACCACAGTTTACTTTTCAAATTCCGATCCGATGTGGCCACATTATTTCAATTTTCTTTGAAATTGTTTACCAAATGAAAGCTTCACAAAAAAATCGCCGTTGGGTTATGTTAAAGATAACTCTACAAATTTTCAAATATCGATATTTCAGTTTTTTCAAAAAGAACTCCCTGCATTTTATTCTAATTTTAGTTCTCTTTTTTTTTGTGAAGTATTGTCTATATTTAACGGTGGTAGTTACTGCGACAAGAAAATGTTTTTAGTTGAGTTTCGAAAATGTCAAAATTTTTGCGAAATTTGAAGAAGGGGAGACCATTAAAAAATTTCAGTTTTAAAGAAGTTGTCTAAAAATAATGAAAAAATTCAGGGACGTAAATCTCGACACGCTGATTCCAAAAATATAGCATGTTGATGGACACGAAGCAACATGTTCGAAAAAATCGCTGCGAAATGCGAATTTTTGAAAATTTCAAAAATTCCGAAATTTCAACGGTCGATTCTGGAAAAACGGCTGCAGGTATCGAAAAACCGAAGCCAGATCTGAGTTCTAGAGCTCGAAATCGACAATAAAATTTATTTAGTTGAGTTTCGAAAATGTCAAAATTTTTGCGAAATTTGAAGAACCACTAAAAAATTTCAATTTTAAAAAAGTTGTCTAAAAATTATGAAAAAATTCAAGGACGTAAATCTCGACACGCTGATTTCAAAAATATAGCATGTTGATGGTCACGAAGCAACATTTTCGAAAAAATCGCTGCGAAATCGCCGTTGGGTTATCTTAAAGATAACTCTACAAATTTTCAAATATCGATATTTCAGTTTTTTCAAAAAGAACTCCCTGCATTTTAGTCTATTTTTAGTTCTCTTTTTTTTGTGAAGTATTTTCTATATTTAACGGTGATACTTACTGCGATTTGCAATAATAAAATACAGGGCGATTTTATTTAATTGGTACAAAGCGCGTACCATTTTTATCCTTCCACAAAATTTTGTAAAATGGATTTTAAAAATAATCCCATTTCGATTTTTTGTGAGTTTTTCCATTACAAAAAAAAATGAAGAAAATAGGAAAAATGTGGCAACATCGCATCGGAATTTCAAAAATAAATGTGTTTATAGCGTGTGCTACTAGAAAAAAAGCACAAATTTATTAAGCACGATCTGAAAATAATATAACTTTAGTTTTTATTCTTATAATATACAGGGTGAGTCACTAAACGTACGTGCCTCGATATTTCAGTAATCATAAGAAATAAAATTAGATTTAAAACTGAAGTTGCACAGTTGGTTGAAGACCATATACTATAGTTATTTTCAACTATATAGAGTGTTCTCTATGTATGTATGAAAAGATTTCTCACTCTTTTATACTCATATGAAGCAAACTTTAAAATTGAGAAATAAATCAAACATCTTAAACAAATAACTTCAGATAAATGAAATTTTGTACAAATATAAAACTTAGCCTAAAGAATGGTAGAATAATTTCGTCTTCTCTAGAAAATTATTTAGTTCAATATACAGGGTGAGGTACTAAGTGCGCGTTCCTCGATGTCTCATTAATTATTATTAGAGTCCTTTGAGGACCTTATTCTAAAAGTTTTAACGATACAGAGTATTCTGTTTTTAAAATGCAACACAATTTTTTTTAATGAAACATCCTATATATTTTTAATTTTTTACTTATTTTGATTGATCGCTTTTTAGGTTTTACAACCACAGTTTATTTTTCAAATTGCGATGCGATGTTGCCACATTATTCAATTTTTTTGAAATTGTTTAGCAATTGAAAAGTTCACAAAAAAATCGCTGTTGAGTTATCTTACAGTGTTTATAAAAAAAAAACGAAAACCTTACAATTTTCAAATATCGATATTTCAGGTTCTTCGAATAGAACTCCTGCATTTATTTTCTTTTTTGTGAAGTATTTGCTATATTTACAATTGATAGTTGCTGCAATTTGCAATAATAAAATACAGGGTGATTTTATTTAAATGGTACCTTTTTTATCCCTCCACAAAATATTGTAAGACGGATTTTAAAAATAACCCCATTTCGATTTTTTGTGAATTCTTCCCTTGCCAAAAAAAATTAAGAAAATTGGAATAACGTGGCAACATGGCATCGGAATTTCCAAAATAAACTGTGTATAGGGTATGCTACAAAAAGAGCGTACAAATTTATTAAGCACGATTTGAAAATCATATAACTTTAGTTTTTATTTTTATATACAGGCTGAGTCAGTAAACGCACGTTCCTCGATATTTCATTAATTATAAAAAATAAAAAAAAAAGGTTTAAAACTAAAGTTGCACAGTCAGTTGAAGACTATATACTAAAATTATTTTCAACTATAAAGAGTGTTCTGTATGTACGAAAACATTTCTCATTTTTTTATAATCATATCAAGCAAACTTTAAATTGCGAAATAAACCAAACACCTTGAACAAATAACTTCAGATAGATGAAATTTTGTACAAATGTAAAACATAGTCTAAAGAATCGTAGTGCCATCAATCTCAAATATTTCTCAAACAAAGAATTTTAAAATTTTGAATTCCAATAGTGCGGAATTTTGAATTTTGAAAACAAATACTTGCTAATATAAGACTGATTTTGATAAATGATAAACCCTCTAAAAAAAGGGTGGGTGGGCAGGGCTAGTACTAGCTAACTTAAAACTGAAGAAAATAGAGAGAATTAACTAACTGGAAAACTGAAAAATATTTGTTCCATAAGTGTAATTAAATAATGAAAATACTTAAGCATGTTTTTTTGATTTTGTTTGTTTTTACAAATTAAAAAAATATTGTTGCAACAATGTTACCAGAAGTAATGAAAAAAATTTTATTTTTAATTTTAGAAACATTTTCATTTATTAAACACCTGTATCCGAAATACCACAGTTTAAAAATAGTAATTTTCAAGTTTTCGAAAAAAAAAATTCGTTGCACTATTTTTTAATTACAAACAATAGATCTCGAGATTTCAATTATAGACCATATTGAAATAATAATAATAATACAGCGCATTACTTTTGTTCAAAAGTAACATTCTCTGAACTAGATCTTTTTATCTCGAACACAGGTTGTTTTGGGTGCCGGTGTTCGTGTTATCTTCGCTTCAACGCCTCATCAATCCCGTCGCCATTTTTCTCTCCGATCCATATTTTTAAATAATTGGCCATAATTTTCATTTCGCCTGACTAAATCGCCAAAACGGGCAATCCTGGCTTTGGTATTTCGCTTGTTCTTCGCTTAAGGACGAAAAATGTGCCTCCCGGACTTGTTTATTAGTCATCGTTCCCCATATAGTGTTTAAATGAATTTTTATTGCCAGGTTTATTATTACGTCCAGGATGTTGGGAGTTAATTTGGTTTGATTTATTGCGTTTATACTTGATTAAATGCCCACCTTCAGGAAGAATCTCTTTACATAAATCAAATCTCGCGAACAAACAGAATTCCGTCGAGTTTATTTCCTGAAAAATTGAGTTTTAATATCGTCCACTTGAAGCAGATACCGTTTGATGAAATCAAAGGATGTGGAAGTGAACTGAGGGAAAACTCCGAGAAATCATATAAAAATGCTCTAAAACGTGACGTTGTTTGAGAGGCTTCCTGTTTTATTAGATTATCAGGACGGGCGAGTTCTGAAGGGTTTTTGTTCGTTTTCCAAGTGGAAAGTGCTCTCTAATTACCTATTTTCCGTTTCGGATTATTTTCGAGGGAAACGGTACCAAAGTCCGCTCCTTTTCTCTATGACCCATGAATATAAATTGGCTCGTCGACGTTTCATAATTGTATGTAAATGTATTAAGACATGAGCATTCACCCGAGATTATGTAAAGATTAAGTATGCGTACGGCAGGC